TCACCGCTTGAAATGAAAGGGACAAGAGCTACTGATTGGTTCAGTCTGCCTCAGTCGAAGCTGTAAGATAAGTGAGGTCTTGCAAAACAATCTCAGTACTTGGTCACAAAGTGGTCGACGTTTAGTCCTGAGAGACTTTACATTGGTGAGCAACTAACTTGTATGCCCAATCAGCCGGCAAGTATTAATATAAATAAATAGTCTGCCGCAGATCAAAACATTGAGTCTGGAGCATGTCTCTTACGAATGCACTCAGGTTTAACGATTTGTTCTTAGCTATCTATCCAAAACTCATATAACTATCACTTACGTATTTAAATTTTGTTTTGATAACCATTCATGTGTATTAGTAGTATTACTAAATTCTATCACGGTCAAATAAAAATGAGGTTGAGAAAATCTCCCCGTAACTAAATAAACCGTATCAAACTAACTGGAACACTAGTTGGAATTCTTCTCCACGGTAATACTTTTGTTCTTTCAGTTAGCCTACTAATACAAATGCAATTGAAAATCAACTCATGGACAACTTACTAGCATGAACGTTATTTGATTTTATAATTTGAACCAAAACTAATACCAATATTAACATTTCTACAATATTAATTGCTTTTAATATTTCTAAACACAAAATACTTACTACCTATACGTTAAGTTATTAACCAACGGCTATTAACACGCATCGTTTTATTATTATTATTGTCATGCCATTCTTTATAGTTCAAATAATCTTCACCCAAATTTTCATTTCAAGCATTTTAAGCATGAAGGCAGATATTTTAAAATTATTACATGTATTTCCCGGCCAGATGCTGTCGCCTTCTTTTTGATTTATCTTTCAGCTAATCCATATTCGGAGGATTCTTACTAGTCTTGATAACCTTCGGCGTACGACAATCCCATCCAATTCGGTATCGAACCAACATCACGTTGATTCTGGTGGGAGAGTAGTGTAGTGGCATTGGACAATAACCACTCAATCCACAAAGCTGAACACAAGACTACTCAGAAAATAGATATTCAATATTTAACGCGGAGAAATACCTAACGATGGCGAAGGCGCGAACAATGAATTGAATGGATTAGAGTTGATCGAATGGCATGGCTCGGCCATGCAGGCGTGGTCTCTGCTGAATGTTACCTTATGTCTTCTATTCGTATTAAATATATTGTCCTTTCACTAGCCTAACCTTGTTCTACATCATGTATTGGTAATTGATGCGATAAAGTGAGTTGGTGTAGTCGATGGTGTGACTTCCACGTAAGATCTTATAGATTAGGCAGTTATATCATGACAAATCTACAAATTTAGGATTAGGTCTATTATTAGATCGGTACCAATATCATAGTGGATCATAATTTTACACACCCACGTTAGACTGGAAAAATCTGAGGACTGAATCGTCAGAAGATTCCTTCGAGCAGGGACTATTTGATTAGGTTATCACATGTGCCCAGTATCCAGAATACCTGTGTCCCGACCCTCCGTAAGTCTAGAAGGTTGTACGAAGAAAATTTGTTAAGGAATCCATAGAATGCACTTAACACTTGTATTCGTATATAAACCAAAGGACAAAAAGAAGAAGAAATCTTACAGAACTTTGGGGAGACAGTAATTTACCATTCCTGAGTTATGGCTTGTCTGTTGATTAGTATCTCTCTCATTCACAGCCACATTTGGCTAATTGTTGTACAAATACTGTTTCATGTTTTGTGGTACGATGTGGTCTGTCTGGTGATATATAAACCCAGTATGCTTGAAATAAGTGGTTCATATTGCAGAGTCTGAGATTGCTGCTCCGGACCTAACTGGCTGAGCTAGGCAAAAAGCAGGAACAATTAGGACTCGAGGCTGCTCGCACGTGTTTTATGTGTCACTGGTTCGATCGATAATTCACTGCTCTCTGATTGGCGGTATCGTTGTGTTATACAATAAACAGGGTACACAGGTTCACAAGTTATAAAAATTTGTTTGTCCCAGGAAATCAAACATCGTACCGATATCTCGAGAAGATATCTAACTATACATCAGTAATGTTGTCTTTGTGTTGGAGAACAAAGTAAAATGAGTTGTCATCTTTATCAACGGCAACCTTACGTTGAATTAAACCCTATGTAGGATTGGCTAAAAGTGTCAGTGTTCAAACGAAGTTAGGTTTGAGCAAGTATAAAAGATGGTCAGAATGTGTTTACTTATTGTGATATCCCTGAGAGTAACAAGACGTTTGTGTGGCTGAGGTCGCTGTACCGTGCCATCAGTTTGTTCACAGCAGTTTGCCGTTACGGATATTTAGCTAGCATGAAGTGCTTCACGTTCTGATTGGCTCCTATGACCAGTCGCTATTATTAGAGGGCTTATCGTCCAACGAAGATGCGGCCAACGGTTGTAAAAACCTTATCATCGTAAAGTATGGCCTCCGAAAATTGTATGAAATAGCTGACCTGTGTAAAGATGTATATGTAGTTGTGGGACTGTGGTCTACTATGATATTAGTACTGCTCTAATAGTAGACCTAATCCTAAATTTGTAGATTTGTCATGATATAACTGCCTAATCTATAAGATCCTACGTGGAAGTTACATCATCGTCTACACCAACTCATTGCATCATAACAATTATCAATACATGATGGAGAACCAGCTTAGGCTAGAGATAGGACAATATATTTAATATGGTGAAAAGATATAAGATAACAGGGGCCACGCCTGCATGGCCGAGCCATGCCATTCGATCAACTCCAACTCGTTCAACTCCTTCTTCCTGCCTTCTCCAACGTTAGGTATTTCTCCGCGTTAAATATTGAACATCTATTTTCCGAGCAATCTCGTATTCAGCTTTGAAGATTGTGTGGTTATTGTCCAATGCCACTACATAGTCAATCAATTTTTTTGGAGAACTCATGAGATCAGAGTGAACACGGTCAAAACGATCGCCTTTTGATACAGGCTTGATATGTCTTCCTTAAATATTTTCGACAAGCTAAATTGAAATGAGCCTATTCACATACCCCACCTTTCATTAAATGTCGGGAAAACTTCTGAGTAAGGGATATAAAATATATAAACAGGCTTTCCTTAGCATTCTTTTGTATTTTGAAAAACAGTATGGACAACCAATAACTTCGTCTCTATATATGTTTAGTTAGTTTTAGCTTCACAAGTTCTCCTTGCGTAGAGTGTTCTAAATGGGTTACTAGTTAGTCAAAATACTGGATACTGTTCACAAATGTAACCATTAATGTTATACGCACCACAGCATCTAATTTTAGTAAACTTTCAGGAAAGAACAGACTATAAACACTTTAAAAAGGGGAACGATTTGCAGGGATCGACTAATCGAGGCTTTATGTGTGGAGTGATATCGAAACCACAACCTACTTGTGCAATAAGTTGTACGGAAAACATTACATGATCCTGACAAAAGATTAGGTGACCAATTGATCGGAAGATGGAAACACGTTAGCACAATAGCGTTATCAAAAGTTTGAGAGACGTCCTGCCGCATAAAGGTTTTTGGTGCATACTCGAAGGTTCGTATGGAACCATTCATTATTTTCTGTTCACTGGGATCGTTTTCATCCCAATTTAGTGAGTAGTAGAAGAAGTACTGACCATGCGAAAAAGGATAATCGTGGAGGGAAAGCGTAGCTCTTTGTGGGGTACCAACGTCAGTAAAAAAGGAAGCGCTCAGTAATGCTGTCATCCAAGACCTCTTCTTACACAAGAACCCTAAAAGTTAGTTCAGTCAGAAGTCAACAATGAAAGGACGAAGGGAGATATTTGGATAATAGTAGTTGTGTCAAAGTTTATGTAGTCCTATTTGGCTAGTTGTTGTATGAGATATGCAGTACGGCGTGTCTATATGTGGCCTGGTGTGACCACTTAACCAAACGCCTTTAATCAGGGCTGTCACAGTAGAACTAAGGAGGTCAGCATCAATGTGAATGAATTATGAAACTTTGTTTCAGGAATTTAGTTATCATCACACCCCTCTCAAAAAGCAAGAAAATGAAATATTTGCCACCCAAGCATCATTGTTTACAACGAGATATACATCGAGGCAGAAGCACAAGATAAGGTATAATCACGTAAATCACATTTTTCATCTCAGAGTTCTTTCTGCCTGTTGAAAAACAAATTATGGTTAATTATTATGATTCTGAAGTGGAAGTTCAACCACATCCACAATCTCTGCAAGACGAAGAAGCGGCGGTGATGTGGTTAGAAACATGACATTCGAAATACTACATTCTTAGCTTCCATCTTCTGGATTTCGTCTGAAGAAGATTCAATCTGTTTGCACACATATACCGATTTTCTATTCCACCTACTTAACCAAAGTTCGGATCTTTCTTGAACTCCACAATAGCATTCATGATGTTTTAAGTTGTCTAATGGTATTCCTTAATAAGTGTCTTCATAAGTGATATTGAGCTTTAGGGAATATCTAGAAACCAGGATAATAAACTGAGATTACAGGAGAGCATGACTGGACTTCTAATTTCGGCGGCTAACAAACAGCTTGCTTTCAAATTCTAGAAACAACAGGTATTTTATCTGGAGTATGTTGCGAAATACGTATATAACTTAGTAAATTGCCACTTAGAAGTGCCATTAATTGGAAAGTGTCTAGGTGTTTTGATTTCCCATGTTCAAAAGCATTATGTTAGATGTGACAAGCCCTACATAGGTGACTTTAAAAGACAGTTTCGGCCAACTTGCTAGTTAGACTTTCCATTCAATTTCTAACGGTTATATCCAACCCACTTTAAGTACGAAGATATATTGTTTATATATCGTCATTGTAAAAGTATAAGACTATTTTGAGGCTATCCAAAGTTGAGTAATGGAAGGTCATGAAGTAGAACAAAAGTTTCTAGAGTTACGCATCTTAAAATCTATCAGACACTGTGTGTTTAAAGCTGTTCATATAAGAACAAGGCGGCGGTTATTCGTCGTCTCACTGTAACCGGGATATTTGATCAAAGTCGCCGACCACGATGGTTAGTGTTGATTTGTTTTTTCAATTCATTTTGTTTAGGATCTTATGCTACCAGAAAAGTTCCAGCACATTCTTCGTGTTATGAATACGAATATCGATGGCCAACTTAAAATAATGTATGCCATAACTTCAATTAAAGGTGTTGGCCGACGATATGCCAATGTAGTATGTAAAAAAGCTGATATCGACCTTAACAAGCGTGCTGGTGAACTAACTGAAGATGAGGTTGAAAAGCTTGTAACAGTTATGAGTAATCCAAGGCAGTACAAGATCCCTGATTGGTTTCTAAACAGACAGAAAGATGTCGACGATGGCAAACACTCACAATTGATGTCCGGTGCTTTGGAAACTAAGCTACGTGAGGATCTTGAGCGATTAAAAAGGATAAGATCTCATCGGGGTATACGTCACTATTGGGGGTAAGTTAATAAGTAATTTCACCATCATTGTTCTATTGAAACGTCTCTTCGGGACATCATTCACTTCAGTAAACTGTCGAGTTTTGTCATAGATGTGGTGCAATTAGACATGGTTTGCTTGTGACAAGCATTTTCTCGGACGTTCGGAAATAGGACATGTATATATTGTTGGCGGGAATTATTTATGTTTAGTTCTTATTGGTTCACAATGTCTACCGACGAGTCACCTTATGTTTGTTATTCCGTCTCGAAGTCTCTAAACATGTCTTGATCCTAGTTTACAAGGCGTTTCTCGCCACCTCTTCTGTTAGATAATGATTGTCTTATCTAAACGTTCAATTTAAAGCTAGTCTGGTCGTGTGAAGTTTGGTGGTTGTTTTTAACATATACTAGACGCTAATTAAGATGTCTTGACATGTAATCGATCATCTGTACCCAATGCTTTAAACACTAAGCTTACAATTAGAATATAGGATAGATGTTATGAAATTATTGTCAGTATGTTATTATTTGAGTTCTTGTACAGGAACTTGGTAGTCGTTTTATGTACAAAACCATCCTTCAACCCACTGTGTAAAGAGTGGTGTTAACTGTTCACAACAAATTCCCTGTCACATATACGACAATCCGAGTGACTTGACTCGCGCCTTAAACCTGTAACTCTGAATGTCAATGCTCGGTCCACTGTTTCTGTTGAACTTTTCAGGATGTCAAATTAGTTCTCTAATTAGTGTAGTTGGCTTGAGTCACTACAGTAGGCAAGTCCACAGCGTTTAGGTGGTTGTCACAATAGTCAGAACAGGTTTCGCACTGCATTTAGGGCGTCCTGACTTGGTCCCTTGTTTGCCTTTACTCAATGTACTTATATGCATAAATATAACCTACTCCTTTTCATTATTCATATGTTATTATTGTAATTTTAGATTGCGAGTTCGCGGTCAACACACAAGAACAACTGGACGACGTGGACGAACAGTTGGTGTATCTCGAAAGAAATAAGTAAATAAAAATTTGTTACGGAAACGATGTTCTACTGCTTTCATTTATTGGAATATGCCCGCGTAGTTTTAATGAGTACGAAGTAAAGACTTGTGTATTAGTTAAAGCTAGTTCTAATGTTTACTGTCGTCAGTCTTAGTAGTCGCTCAAAATAGTCCGTTTGCCAATTGTTAGTTTATTGGCCTAATAACGTAGTGATTATCGATAAGCACGTTGGATTAGGTATGTTTGGATATCTATCCTTTTGGACTTTCCACTTGATATCACCTTGCAATAATTCATGCTTACTGGAATTGTGACAACTGTTGATTAGTTAAATATGAGGCAAAATGATAGTGGGGTCTCTTGGTAGTGATAAATAAATTACTATGGTCAGTAGCGTAATATCCTCGTTTAGCAAGTGGTAATTCAAGTTTGGAAGTGAAGTTCGTAAGTACCAGTTTTGGGACTAAACTATTCCCGTTCACTAGTGCAGTCGTAGTATAAGTAATGTCATTTTTGGTGTAGGTGGTAGGGTTAACATGTTGACATTTATTATAAAGATTTGAACAGTCAAGTGACTGCGTTGCGTGTCAAAATGTCGTGTTTTGAGGTTTAGGTTATCTAAATCAACCAGTTTTATTCGTTGCATGCTGGGGATATTCCAAATAAACATTTGGCTCGCTATACTTATTGGGCTGTCTATATATCACCTTGGTATGTGACAGTCGCGACGATGCGAATGATAATACAAAGATCTGGATACCAGAGCATAGTTCAAATTACATTGTTTTTAGTCCTTTTTTGTGATTACCTTCATGTTTTGTAGTAGTTCCTTAAACCTCAACCAAGAGAGGGATCGGGAGTCTCAGTTTATAGTAAGGTACAACTATGTGCTGTTGATTATTAGTCGAAACAAACTGCTACAATTACTATCTTGACTGGTGGTTCCTCCTCATCTAACCATTTTCAGCATCGTCAATCACATGCGTTTTGATGGGAAATAAACTCTAGTTTGCGTTTCTTTAAATAGTTGCTTGTTTCTTAGTTTGGCGTGAGTTCCGTTGTCTTAGTAGTCCATACAATGTTTTTTCTGAAACATCCTTGCCTCCTGAAATCCTGCTATAACCAATTAGAGAACGGTGTGATAGCACGAGAATTTACTATATGCGCTGGCATTGAATTCGAGGCTTAAACAAAAGTATTTTCTCTAGCATTTTCGTGAATTTAGTGACTAGTTAAATTGTCAGTTGGTGCTGGTGCGCTTATCGAAGTAGCTTGTTTACCTAAATTGCTTTAGTAATTTAGACGACACTTTGTCTTTTATATAACTTACTTTCAGCTCCAGAAAGTTTCCAGCTATATGAATTTCGTTACATTCGGAGTCAGAATATAGTACTAAATGACCGTTATATGTTTAGTTGAATTGTTTGGTGTTCGTGACTCTCCGGTATCTTCATGAGTTCAGACACTTGTTATCAAAGTCTGCTAATAAGCATAAGAGAAGTTTTAGGAGAAAACATTCTTTATTCAGAGGGTAGCTTTTTATCTTCAGTTCATTCCATTCTTTCTGTTGTCGATTCTACTCACTCAGTCTTTGGTTTTTCGCGAATGTGCAGGTTTCAAAAGTAATTACTAGAATCGACAAAACATCTTTTTATCTTGTTCAATATATCCATACGTCTGGTAACTAACATTTGATAAATAATGATTCGTATGTATTGAGCTTACATGAAAAGTGATTGGTAAAAATCAAATTGTTAAATAGATAACCATGGGAAAGGCTATTTGTTGATATTGTCGTTTCATAATAATTTAGTGAAATTGTCTGTTCTAATAGCTAACTGGAATGGCGTATAATGATCCGTATTTATCTTTGATAGGGAAACTTTTCCGCATACTTAAACACCTTTGATCAATAGATAGTGAATTTTCTTTGGTTTCTATTTCTTGTTCAAGGGATGTCCGACTCTTTTGCAATCTGGCTAATGTGATGTTTGCATTCCTGCGATTGTTTTTAAGTTCTTCGATTGTTTTTCTAAGTTCCAAAACTTCAGTTTGAAGTCTGTAAAAGAAAATATCAAGTATAACGGAGCTATACTCATATTGTGTGTATACGTACTTATTTCACTAAATAGGAATTTGTTATAGTAAAAATAACTACATCTCTAACATATTGTTACACTGTGCAAGAGAGATAATCCATTTACTACATTTTTAGGTGAGAAAAATTTTTCAATAAGAAGTGGTTGCCTTCTAGCCATAGTATACTTTTCGAAAAATATTCTATAGTCATTCGACATCAGAATACATAACGGTTAGTTCTAGACATTCATAGCTGTTTTGATTTGAAAAAAGTGTTGGTTGTAAGCAACGGTCAAGAGAATTAGAAATGAGTGAGAAGATTATTGATAGTAGTTAATGGTACTTAGTGGTACCGTAGTGTGACAGAACAAAGATGAATCTTAAAACTCCATGAAATCAAAGCATAATATGCAACAACCAACACTTTTCGGAATACTTTAGTTCAATCAAAAGAAAATATCATTTACATTTCAACACAGAATTTTGTTTGTGGACAACGTTGTGTTGACTGTGATGCCTTCTGTTCTGAAGAGTTTTCTCGTGAAATCTTGATTCGAGTCGAAGAACAGCTAAGTTCCACAGAAACACCTTGTGAATTTTCAAATGAAGTTAGCAGTAACAGTACATTGTGTTTTCAGTAGCGACCAGCCGACCTTAAAATATTAGAACAGTTCAAAAAGCATTTCCCCACTATAAAGAAAGGCGAGTACCTGAAGCATTACACATATCTCTAAACCCTACTGCTCTCAGTAGGAGAAGTATTGATAATCACTCAACTTGGATAATTTATTCAAACAACCAGAGTACATTCTATTCACACTACAAAGTCGGCCCTTCTGCACTGGATTTCATATTTTTCTATGTCCATTATAATACAAAGACAAAAGTATATCACACATCATAGGAAAGGATGCTTCGAGACTAGATACAGTATAATGTATTGTAGTGATATTTTCTGGGATTCATCTATGTAACATGAAGTAGTATTAGGCCCTATTCCACGGATTCTTTAAAAAATGTATACACTAGCGAATGAAAGTTGTGAAATGAAGTATGAATATACTAGAATTAAGTTTGTTTACCTGTCTATCCAGTGGTGTGGTACTAAAGTATCTTTATCATTTAGAAAACAACATAGCATAGTCCTTGATCAAGATCATTATTGAATTCGTCGAAGTATGTTCACCGAGATCGTAAATGCAACCATCAAAACATATTTAGTCAGACTAGATCATTGAAAGAAGTAGGAACTGCGTAGTAAGATAGAATGAAGGGTTAGAAAGGCAACCTGCAGATGAAAATTTGTGTTCAGTTCTCAGCTAAATTGGCCGCGTGCCCACTGGCTAATTTTCTTACATCGTTACCTACAGCCTACTAGAAGCAGTTAACAGTTACGAAAGAGGTGGATCGCATATGACACAACCACATTACTGTCCTAGAATCTACTATAAGGTCCTGTCGGCGTGAGCTTAATTTCCACTTACTGCGTTTTTTAGACATAAATACTTATCTTTATTTTGATGTTTAAGTACTAATCATATTAGTGTATTGATACATTTTAGTGTTGGAGAAAGTAAATTAGTACGTTGAAGATTCGCTAGAGTAAATTATGCTTTTATCAACTCAGTTGTGTGGCTAATCTCTCACTCCAGTCAACATGAACTTACGTTTTCATTGGTTGATCATAACAAATCTCCACATTGATCCTTCGAGTTCTTTCTTTTAATCTAGTTTGTGCAACCTTCAATGGTTGGATTTTGTCATCCGTCGTCTTTTTAAGTGCTCCTATTAAGTTTTCCACTTCATATAATTCCTGTGTAACCTAATAAGTAATTTGCGATTAAAAACAATAAGAACAGGAAAAGTAATGGTTACTTTTCTCAAGGATAAGCGAAGGTTATCTCTTGCATTAGTAACTTCATTTATTCTTGTTTGTAGTGCATTATTCACCGTAACAAATTGACCATGTACACTACCAATTATAGATCTTAAGGCAGAATCAATTTTTTCACGTAGATTTTCAGATGCACTACGTTGATTTTGTGACCGAATTAAATTTTCTTGAGTGTACCTCATCCATGAAGTTGGGATACTCCGACTGAAAAATAAGAGTTAGATGAGATCGTCAAATTTTCTAGATACGAATATGAATTGGATACTGACGAATCATACACCATTTAATTTATTTAATAAAGACTTCAAATGTCGATACAGAGTTATTGGCTCTATGAAGTTTCCGACACAAATTTTCGTTAATAGTCACAGAGTTTGATGTGATTACGTAGAGTAAATTGATTATAATCCATTAAATAATCATTTCTTTAATTTAGATTGATAGATTTTCATTTCAGTAATTTGGCATCCAATTTTATCCTACTTAATATACAAATAAGTACTCTAACTTTATTCTCAAAACAAACATTTTAACTCGTGCTTCAGGTGATGTGTGTTGTAATTTGTAAATATGTGCTAGAAGGTTCCTACTTATGAATAGTGAATAATAACCAATAGAAGAAAAGAGTTCGACTATAAAATTTAAGAAGCAACGAATTTTGAAGGACTATTACTTAGTATAAACGTTGGGGCGGGAAAAATATAGCCGGTAAAGTCTAAATACTATCAGTTGGTCGGATAAACACAATTTTTATTCGGAGTAAAAAAGAAATGGACGATTTTTTGACAATCATGGTTAAGATCTTTTAAAAGAAGATTGTTTTTTTCACACTTAGTTCCTTACATGTAATGAAGTCAAGACAATTTTAGGTTAGCACACCACATTAAGTGATTTTGTTGTAGAATACTTCTACAGATTAACTGATAGATCTACATAAACTTTTATAGAAGAGAACTATTCATTTTCTAAGGTTCCTTTGATATCCAGTCAGCTGTGTAAATTTTAAAAAATTTATGAAGTGTAAAGTATTCGAAGGAATAAC